CAGTTCGAATGCGGCGTGCCGATGGGCGTATGGCGGCTGCTGCCCAGAGCACTGTCCACAGGAGTCGTCTGAGCCAGCCTCGAACAGGGGCTCTCTCGGGACATGTTCTGAGACCCAGCGATCATTTCGGAGGTGGGTGTTGGAGTCGGGGTCGGGGTGGGAGTCGGGGTCGGGGTGGGGGTAGGAGTGTGAATTGGAGTGCTGTTGTTATGGATCGAATGGTAGAAGTGCGTGCTGCTCGGATGAGATGACACGGGAGCTCCTGGAGCGGCAGTCTGACTCTGAAGGGCCATTCCTAGACAGCCACCGTAAGGATGGGAATTATTCATGGACATCTGCTCCTCCATGAGCACCAGCTCCTCCACGATGCTGTCCTGGGTAAGGTCATCCTCAAACGAAAAGAAGTTGTCATTTGACTGCGGGACTGTATGTTCAAACTCTTTCAGCTCCGACTGCAGAGGTAACTGATTTGAAGACTGTGCTTGTATCTGACCCAAGGAGGAGTCCTGAATCTGGCTCTGTAACTGCTGGTTGTACACATCCTGCTGCATACCTTCACAGTCCACTGGCTCCCACGACGACTCCTGCAAGTCACTAGAGCCAGAGTGCCCTGCAATGGTCATAACACTGATGTCTTGCTGCTGTTCACAATTCACAGATGCGAAGTCGGAGGTTTTGGTGATATGGTGCCATGTATTTGGGTTAAAGCTGCCATCAGATTTCGAATCATTTTCTATGATAAACAAGTTTCCTTCCAATTTTACTTTTATATCTGGAGATGATGCTGATGCAAGCTGCTGTACTAAAGCAGAATCACTGGTATTTAAATTGGTGCTCAAAGAAAAGTCTGTTGCTAAGTTTGCTGCAGCTGCAGAAGGTACAGGTACCTTCACAGGTATGTTGCTGGGAACTTGAGCAAGTGTTGCTGTATTGTCACTGTTAGCTAATGATCCAGCCTTCGGAGACTTCTTAACACTGGTTGCTTTTTGACCCTCCACAGCATTACCAGCTGAAAGCTGCTCCACCAGTGGTTTCTTTACAGGTGGTACCTGGGAATCCTGAAGTGCAGAAGGTTGTCGCTTTCTTGGACTTTTAGTGCATGTTTTGTCTTTAATTGTAGACTCACCAGTAGGAGGTGAACCAATGCTGGTGCTGGACAAGTTTTGACTGGCAACTGAGAGCTTTATAGTGCTTTGATTATTGCCTGCTGAAGAAACTGGTGTGATCTCATCAGATTGTGTTTTATATTTGGTCCCTGCCTCTTCAGCTCCCTGGTCACAGCCCTTATCTGGTTTTGTCTCCACAACATCATCTGCTGAAACCTTCAAGGTTGCAACCTCAAAATTAATTAGTTGAGCAGGAGGCAGGTCAGGGGTTGCCTTTAGAGATTTAGACACATCAGAGCTCTCTTGGCCCTGTACTGAGTTCTCATCCAGCAATGCTTCAGGTTCCATTTTGACCTTGACCGCAGGCGCAGCTACGACAGTGCTAGGCTTGGATCCTGGAGACTGAAGTGAAACAACAGATCCGTTTTTGATCTGTGGACCAGTCCTCCCTTCTTCCACTGCTCCTGCACTACCGCTACCTGAAGGCGTCTGTTTGACGGGCACACTACTGCTGCTTGGGGCAAGAGATATTGCTGTCATTTTTACCACATTTAAGGAATTCACGTGTGGAGCTGGCACAACAGTCTTGATTGGGCTACTGGTGAAGAGCACCGTTGTGGGAGAGCGGATGGTGAGAGCACTGGTGTTTGCTGGTTTCGGCAAGATCTGCGGGTAGCGATGCCGGGCAGAGCGGTCACCAACCGGGCTGGCGGGAACGTTCTGGGGAGTCTTTGGTGGCTGCTTGACTGATTGCATGTGCTGAGTGACCACCTGAACGTTGAGCGGCAGGACCTTGCTATCAGACGATCCGATAGGGCTTGGAGACGTCACCAGCTGCCTAGTCCTTGGCACCTGTAGAGAGAGAAAAAGGCATGGCAATGAAGCAAGGAAGTCCCCAAAGACCATGGACCACCTCACCCCCGAGCTTTCAAAGGTGAAGGACAACACAGCTCAGTACACCAAAGCTGGTGAATGTCACTTTGAAACAAAACAAGCTCTTCAGTTATGTACAAGACAATTTCTATTTGTCTGCTTAAAGACTGGTAGACAGATACATGGCCTCAGTTTTTACCACATGAGGCACTGGTCTACACAGTAGTCTGCTCTTCCGCTAATGAAACAGACATTTTCATACAATCTTTCACCACATAGAACAAAAAGACAGACATAGAAAGGTTAAAGAGGAGAGGATGTGTTCAAAACAATGCTCACTGTTAGGGCTGCAAGAACCAGTTAAATGCAAACTTACTATCGGGCAGAAAAATTGGCTTACCTATTGAAGTGTACAACAGAGCTAACATCCTAAAAACCAAATAACCTTCCCCACCATTGCCAGCCCAGCTCTGTATGGCTGAAAGACAAAGATGCTCCATACTACAGACATTCATGCAAAAACAGAACTGCTGCTGTCACTACATGCGCCGAGCCCACAAAAGGCAGTTTAGATTCCATAGTGAGGCTCAGCGACCCAAGCAAATAGTGTCAGCTCTCTCATCTGGTTAAACTTTATCTCAAGGGCAATTATTCCCACACATAACCTTAATTACTGCCAGCAGAAATCCTGCTACCATTGACTTCAAAGGTGAACTTGGCCTATGTTATTCCGCTGCCTCCGTAACTCATGTGGGATAACACAGTCACTGGGATATGAGAAACATCAAGGGACCCAAGCCTTTGAACAGGAACTGTTTTTCTATCCCCCTGACACCCCTGCTTAGTTACTGGCAATTTACAACCCTTTCACAAGGTGGTTTCTCCAGAGAACTGCTGGAGGACATTACCGGTATCGGGCTGGGGACAGCTGCCACAACAATGCCAATAGGCGGAGGAGACAGAATGGCAGGACTTCCATTAGATATACTGGTCACGCCGTTGGTGGCGGTGCCTTCTGTTTTCTTTGCTGGAGACTCCCCTGGCAGAGGAGACTGCAGTTTCTGTTCTTGCTGCTTCTTCTGGATCTTACGCTGCAGCTGCTGCTTGGCATCGACAGGAGATGGCAGAGTTTTCACTTGCGGTTGAAAGGAATTACTTTCAGCAGTAGGTATAAAAGCTGAGGGCTGGGGGATCCCTTTTATTCCTGAGTACAAAATAAGAATGAATTATAACCACACATACACTGTCTGCTGCAGTGCCACTTCTGTATCTAACCACACAGAACACATGGCAGACATCTCTACAATCATTCTGGGAACGCGCATGAGGTGCTCCCATACACTTCAGCCTCAAATCTACTCCGTGTTTCAGTTTATTTCCACATTTGTGGCAAAACCTCTGTCTGCTAGACATGCTGCTAAAACACTGTGCACTGGCATCTTGCTTCCAGTCATCCCAAATTACAACTTTTGTGTTAGCAGAACTAAAACCCAACGCATTTCGCTCAACTGACAGTAGAGGGCAGCGGATGTGTTTTACATGAACCTTTAACGTTCATCATCTACCCTGGTTTGGTTTTGTTATCAATGTCTCGGGCAGCTTTAAAAACAGACAATCTTTCCAGAAAGCTGCAGGTCTGTATCACAGAAGAGCAACTCTGAGCAGATGATATTATCTAATGGCAAAGCATTAAATACAACTCATTTCATATGAGAAAGGATCACATTAAATAGATCACGTTAAAGGTCAGGTTGGACAGAGCCTTGAGCAACCTGGTGTAGTGGGAGGTGTCCCTGCCCATCGCTGGGGCTTGGAGCTAGGTCCCTCAAAGCAGGTCCCTCTTGTGTTGGGTTTATCTCATTACCTGCTGGTGCTCCTGCCATTACTGTTAAAGCTGCCATCGACTTGGTACCGATATAGTGACTTTTCACAAGGAAACGAGCCAGTTCCAGGACTGTATCAAAAGGCTGGCTCAGCACTTTCTGGGCCCATTCACAAACAAGCCGGCAGGCCGCAGAGACGACTTCCTCATCAGCACTTTGCAGCTGCCCAGATGGCTCTGCCCCATCCAACTACAACAAACAAACAAAGGAGGAAAGGTTACTTTAATTATTAAGGGTCATTAAGGCATGAAAACCAAAATAAGAGACCAAATAACGGATCAGAAACACACAAGAAGTTAAGCATGCTCACAGTGTTTCATGAAATTAGCAGAATGAAATCACATCGATCTAACTTAAAATGAGATGTCTTAACATTAATCTGCTGGCTGTTTCTGAAGGCATTATATAATGCTATCATTTCTGGAAGAAAATCACAGGCTCCTAACATCTGGACCACCACCAATTGATGCTCCCTGCAGCCAGAGTTTTATCAACTCAGAAGGCATCACTACCCAGGAACTGTGTCTTTCACTGTGGTTCCTCTTCCCTTGCATTCACTTGTTGGTTTTTTGGGGTTTTTTTAAATATATGGTAAAACCAAAACAGAAACAGAAAGATACAGCTTGTGGGTGGCAACACTGGGAAAGTCTGCTTCACCTCCTAAATTAGTTTAACAGCACTGCAATCCATTCTGAACTTACATAAAAACATCAAACAACGATTCAGAACAGAAGTATTGTAAAGAAAAATCTTAAAGAACTACAGAGCTCTTCACGTTGCTTTGAAAACTTCAGATGGAGAAACAACATAATAAATGTTAATTGGCAGAAATACATATAAATAAGCAAGCATGTATCATACCCCATCTCCAGTTTTATGAAAGTCAAGGTTGGGCAGTGTTGGCATATGCACAAAAGCCTTCTTCCTCAGTCCACTGTAGCAATATGTGAACAAGAATTAAGGTCTAAATAGTCTGCTTGTTAGTTGGTGGGTAGGATGGGAGGGCAGCAATTCCTTTGATACCCCTCATAAGCTTTATAAGCAAACTCAACAACAGATCTAACCATTACTGTCTCAGAGCCAGCCACAATCAAGAGCCTGTAAACAGCTGCATTCTTGGGCACATCGTTGGGCTTCTCCATCTACACAGAGGAGCAAATGATGCTGGGTAAGATGAATTTAATTTGATGCCTTAAAAGAACCACTAAACCACACCAAGTAGTTTCAATCAGCTACTCAATATCTGAATCATGAACGTAAATTCAGACTACATTCCCCTCATAAACCAGGCCTAAAACAAGATGGAGAATGCATTTCCAAAAGTTAATCACTATTAAAAAATGTGCTCCCAAACCCAAGTTTGATTTTGAGTTGTTCTTTTTTGCCTTTTTGATGAATTTTCTGACAATTCCTTCTCCTAAGGGACTTCCACGAACTACAGAAATTCTCCACGACGAGATAAAGTGACTGATAAGGACATTCCTTCCTAAGATTTCATACAATTTTTGTGGCTCTCTCTCCACCCATGATAGTTCTTCTGTATAAATATGGATAAAAATATCCAGATTTGTTCTTATGTTGATCTCATCAAATCACTACATGAAAATATACTCTCTCCATTACTCTTACTCACTTGTTTATAGGTCTAAAAATCAAATCAGCCTTTTTTCCTCTCCACAGCATTACTCTGGGAGTTCACATACAGCTGTGTCTTCTCTGCGACACACAAATCCTTTTCAGGACTAATTTGTCACATTCTGTAAATATATCTGTATTTCTCTTTCTTTGACTATGAAGTTTGCATTCGTTTGCATTAACCTGGATGGAACATAATTACAGTAAAATAAATGTGAGGAGGCTGGATACCAAGTAAGTGTGAGATAATGTCACATTTAAATCATTCTGAATTAGAAACTTAGGAAATATCAAGCTACAATTACAGCATTTGATTTCCTCTTTAAAACTTCTCTAGTTCTAACCAGAACATCACTACTAAGTTTTGGACTCTACTGCTAGCTAATCCAACACTGTATTTTATGAAACAATTTAACTGACACAACTTCTCCATTTACTACTACATGGGAGGGTTTTTTCTCCTCGAGGGAAGACAAACAGTTCTGGGCTGCCTGCTAGCATTTAATCCGCTAGTCCATGCTTCAGGTGAGACCCTGGCAAAGGCCAGTATTACAGTGTGTCCACATCATTACTGCTAGTTGTTCTGAGTGGTTTTTAATTAGAGCCTACAAGCACCTTGATGCCTTTTGGCCTTCTACTGCTCTCCCTCTCGCTTACTGCAGTGGCTTAGCCTACCCAGCACATCAGAATGGAGCAAGAGTGGATCCTGGGGAGTGCAGCAGGCACCATCACCGTGGTTTCTACCAGTTCCCAAGGAAAGGTGTAATTCCCAATCCGGAAAAGACACAATTCTTGCTGACAAAAAACCTACTTACTTTGAAAATCATGCAAAGTTTTTTTGTTTTTAATGGAACATGTCAGCTGCTAAAGAAGAGATAAACTGCAGTTCAGTCTAAGAAAAGGCCAAGAAATTCATGTCCTTGTAGCTTTTAGATTTGATCACTGGATTTTTTTCCTAGCAGAGCTTCCTGCCCCTACACTGAAGCAGCAGAACCACCAGTGGTATGAGCAGACTCTTTTGCACAGCATTTGCCCTGAATTCTTCACACTGGCTGCGTATTAACTGGCAAACTTCTCTGTCCCAAGATCTAACTGTGTGAAGTTCTGCTTGTAACAATTATGTCCACTTACGCTATGACAACATCACGTTTTTAAGTACTTTAGGTTTGTATTAAGCTACCATTAAGTGGGGTAGTGTTTTTGCATGTCCTCTGGGATGGACTATTTCTCTTACACAGGGAAGGAAGTGAATTCCAACTCTGGGCACAGGGAACAAGACTCTGCAGCCAAGAGACAGAGACAGCACCTCCTAGAGGCTCTTGCTTTAAATTGCCCTTCCTATCAGGAGGTCTGCACCATGCAGTGGAGGAAGCTGTCTCCATCCCTCACAGCAGCACAGGGCTCGGATCATGCCTTCCAGTCCAAAGCAAGCTTTTGTGATGACCTCCCAGTTCCCTCTTCTCTTCTAAGCAGCACTAACAGCTCAGGAGAGGCAGTTTTATGAAATACGTGCAGTATGGATTAAGAAGGATCTTTGGCTTTACAACTAACTTTCACATCACTGGTGTGCACAAGCATAATAGAAAAGCAAGATTGTTCTGACAATTCTGAGCTCTACTACCAATAAAATATTAGTCACTGCACATACACAAGGCACATTCCTTTATTCCATTACCTCCCTTTGCACTAAATGATAAAGCCTCTTTGATTCCTCGCTGCTGTGACAACTAAGCGTCAGAAGCTAAATTTAAGCACTTGTTTCCGAAGTTACATCTTGCAACCTAACACTGCTGCAATTACTGATTTTTAAAGAACGTTGGGAAAGCGCCTGCATTTTTTATTTAACATTACTTCTACATTTAGCTGGTAGTTAAGCCATAACGACAGATGTTCTCCAGGCAAGTGCAGAAGAAGTTACTGAGAAGTGTTCTAGCAAAGGATATTTTGATTTGCCTCTTGTGCCTAGACGACGGGCCTTCATATTTGGAAAGACATTTTTCATGATCTTTCCAAAGTCAGCAGCACTTAATGGGTGGTAGCCAAGATTGTCACAATAGCTCCTGCAACAAAGAGAAAGAAAGCGTGAATGGAATCAAAGTTAATACAAGAGGCCAGCCTGCATGCTAGACTCCATCAAAGGTTTTCAAAAGAAAACACTTATACCCATCCATATTTAGAATCACATTTAACATTAATGAAGCTATCCACAACGAATTGAATGCATTAAAAATGTATAAACAGAGCTATTAATACCATAGTTTTTGCCTTGTTCTCTACTGAGTTCAAAGACAAGTCATATGGAGACATAACAAGTAGTGGCATTATCTAGAGCACAGTTGATTTACTCCACAACTCAGTTTGAAGCATATGTTTCAATTCACTTATTTTAGGACATAATAAAAGCAGAAATCCTGTTCTAGCCAGAAGTATACCTGAGTGTGGTAAGGCCTGAAATCCTGCAGGAATATTCGAAAAGCAGTAAGAGATTTGTCAGTGTCCGGAGAAATATTCTGCCTACACAACCTCAATTCAGTAGAGCTCAACAGAACTCAATTTAATAAAACATACCTACCCAGGGAACCAGCTTTGCCTTTACAGGTGTAACAAACATGTACTGAAGGACCTAGTCCTCTTATGAGTGTACCAGCACTGAACTATGAGAGCTGCTTAATTATAGACATCTTTGTATTAACAGACCTAAATTAACAGAGATTTCAGCTGCCTCTGCAAACATAGATCTTTGCATGACTGAATACGCAACCTGATAGCACAGGGGAGTAAAGCAACAAAAGGTAATTATTCTCTTAGGTTTACTTGTTCTGGTAAAATGGTAACTTGTTCTGTTATCTGTCCTCAGTTCTCAAAAACAGAAGAGGGAAATTTGTTTCAACATCTGTTTAAAAGAATACCTCCTTGAGGCAGGGAACAGAATCATTGATTTCACTGCAAAACCTGAATGTTCTGGAAAATCACAAACATGTGAAAGCAGAGGAGAAAA